GTTTCATACAGCTCCTTCTTTAGCCTATCAACATCGGCATTGACCCTCATCAGCTGACCCTCCGCCTCCTGCTTCGCCAACTCCACTTCAGAGGCCTTCTCTCGAGCGGCCCAGACCTCATCCCCATACTGCATCGCCTCCTCGAGGCGCTTGGCTAGGTAAACGTTCTTGGCCCTCAAATCTTTGATCAAGCCTTCCAGCTAAACACTTGTGTTGAGGGCCCAGGCTATGCATGCACTGTTGGTCGCCACGAGATCTTCTGCAGTGCACGAGGCAGTGTGGTCCTTCCACTCCTCGGTCTAGTACTTGTTATGGGCCACTGCCACCACTGCCGTCTCGGGAGGTAGAGTCTCCAGCACTTCTTTGACGGGCTCTTCGATGTTCACGCCCAAAAAGTCCACCTCTTTTATGGGGCGGGCCCTTTTCCTCTTCGACTGCCTCGACACTTGAGACAGGAGAGCGACTGAAACTAGAGCTTCAGCCAAGGCAACAGAGGTGGCAGGGACAACCACGGAGGGTTCGGCAACGTTCTCCCTGAGGACCATCCCAGTTGGAATTGTTGTTTGTCTCAAGACTGGGGGTGGCCTCACCACGGTGGTCCCCTTTAAAGAGCCCGCAACCTTCTTGCCCTTCCTCAGCAAATTCGTCTCAGGGTCTTCTTCGACCTCCTCATCCGTCGGAGGCTAAAGCCTCTTACTGATATCAACCAGATCCTCCATCTACTTCTTGTAGACAGATGAGGAGGTCTTCAAGGCTTTCGCTTCGGCCATCATCTTCTGAATTTTCTCAAAATCGGGCCTCAAAGGCTTCTTCTTGTTGAAGTTATCTGCAAGGGAACAACAAATTTTTACAAAGTATGAAGAAGTCGGAAAACCCACGCGACATTTCTACTTCGTAAATTTACCTTGGGAAGCCATCAGATCGTGTGTTACGAAATGAATGTTCTTCCTGATCAGCTCATGATATGATCTCTTCTTCGGGGGTAGCTGGTAGACGATGCAAATTATGTCGAAATCGTCTATCGATATCTCACACCGAGGAAGAGTACATTCAAAATAAAAAGCAAAGAACATTTAGGATCCGAACCGAAGAAGAATAAATAAAATTGTAGGGCAACAGTACTCACTAAGTGTGGAATACTTTGTGGGGACCATAAGAGGTGCCCGGGGGTCCCCCTCCATCATGTCCCATCTCCCGACAACCCAACACCACGAGCTCTTCCAGTCTTTAATGGAGCTCGGCAGATTGAACACGAATGGAGTATGATAACCCCATGAGGTCAGATAATGCCACCCCCTAGTCTTGTCCCCCCCCAGCTACTACCTTAGGGATGTATAGGGTCTGAAAAATCGAGACTGGCATCTCCACCCCAAGCGACGTCTCCTTTTATAACATCCAGGACCCCACTATTTGGCTCCAAGAGTTTGGGTTCAGTTGGGTCGGAACTAAACCGTATGACCTCAGCACTAGCCTAAAGAAGGGATGGAGGGGGAGCCTAAGTCCGGCCCTAAAAAGTGCCCCACTCACGACCACACACCTCAGCTTAGGATAGCAGGCCCTCTCATCAGGCTTCGATAATATTTCTTCGACACTATCAGGAATTCTATATTCAGCCCTAAGTCTACCCAGATCGGCCTCCTTCAATTTCGACGGGTAATCTGAAGCGCCCCAGTGTTTTGATGTATCTACCCAAGTCGTCTCCAAATATTTTTCCCCCAATATCGCCTCGGTGACCTCGCTAGGCATCGCCAAAATAGTCTCATCCACCTTCACCACCTCTAAATCCCTTCCCAAAGGGCCACTACCATCCAAAGCCATTGCAGAATACAAGAATGTGAAAAAACTTGGAAAATATTTATTGGAACTCAGGAAACTGAGGGACCTACGGTCGGAAAAGATCAACACCAAATTTGATATCACTGGAAACTAGAAATGTGGCCGGAGAATGGTTGTACAACGCCGAAAAATGCAAGAATCTTGAAAAGAAATTGATTTTCTGATTTCACAAAAGTGAAAATCTCCCAAAATGCTCAAGTCCGCCTTTTATAGAGCGTCCCAACCGATCTCCACTGTTGAATTCAAACACAATCAATCTAGATCGTCCATCGCATCATAAATCTGAGTCGTTAATACGAAACACCATATTTGATCTACGCCCAAGATCAAGTTGTAACCCTCACGCTCACATAGAACGCTTCGCCTCGATCACCATCAGCCATCTACAATAAGTAGCTGCAGCAGCCTTTTCTGGGAATGGGCATCGCACCCAACTGTCGCCTTGGAAATATGCGACAGCTGTCAAATCATTTGATGTCAGAAATGTTTGTCTTGGATCAAAATCATCAGCTTTACAAAGCTTAAACGCACCTGACGCGGAGTTCCCTATGGGTCATCGCCTCGGTAGCTGCGTTCCTCCTAAGCTTTACAAAGATTTAGCCATCTCACAATGCGTCGTCTCCTAAGGGTCAGCACATCGTTGCAGATGAGCTCCCCACAAAGCTTTACAAAGCTTAGACGTACCTGACTCGGAGTCCCCTGTGGGTCATCACCTCGGTAGCTGCGTTCCTCCTAAGCTTTACAAAAATTTAGCCATATCACAATGTGTCGTCCCCCAAGGGTCGTGCATCGGTGCAGATAAGGTCCCTACTCAGCTTTACAAAGCTTAGACGCACCTGACGCGGAATCCCCTGTGGGTCATCGCCTCGGTAGCTGCGTTTCCCTAAGCTTTACAAAGATTTAGCCATCTCACAATACGTCGTCCCCTAAGGGTCACACATCGATGCAGATGAGCTCTCCACTCAGGTGTACAAAGCTTAGACGTACCTGACGCGGAGTCCCCTGTGGGCGATCGCCTCGGTAGCTACGTTCCTCCTAAGCTTTACAAAGATTTAGCCCTCTCCCAAAGCATCGTCCTGTGGGTCAACGCATCGGTAACGGATGAGCACAAAAAAGACCCACAAGGTCTCGGCCCATCTACACACTTAGCCCTTCCACGCTAGCTCCCTATCACAAACCAAGGCAGGCATACTCAATCGGAAAAACAAGTCCACCCATGATATAAATATTCATGCCTGAAATTGGGGGGACCACTGTTACGCCCCTTTCAGAACCACTTCGGAAATTTCACCATTGCACCATACAAGGTGTCCACCACTAACCCGAAGTGTTTTCGAAGTGACTCCTTTCACCAAAACAATCCTACCGACCTGGCCGAAGCGCAATGCACTCTAAAGTTCTCCTTCCACCGCCGCTTTCAAAAAGAGATCTGTGTCAAGATCCTCTCTGTCCCCAAGGCTTAACTGATTTGACGTCTACAAGGATCTAGTTGATGTGACGTATCAACTTTATGTCAACTCAACTCAGGAGAAGTTATTACCCGCCCACTCTTTAGACGCGACTGATTGAAGCCTATGAGTAGACGCTTCACGCCGTCAGATGTATACACGTGCCCCACATCCAACGATTTTCCTGACCTATAAATACCCAAGGTTTGACAAGAGACAAAGGTAATGAAATTCTTGCAACTTAGCTCTCCATAACAAGAATATATATATATATATAATCTCCTCCCCACTCTCTTGCATAACCTGGGTACTGTTCCAATCACTGTATACTAATTTGACCATCGGAGTATATGCGACCGCCACCACTCCAGTTGGTTCCGGCTGTGTGCATCTGACCGCGTGTTGTTCGTGCGCAGGGAGAATCACGTGGAGTAGCTATCGGTTGGCCACGTAAGAGGTCCAATTCACGAGGTCTACATATACTACAAAGGGTAGAATTGTCATTTTACTTATTTGATTAGAATAGCTTAGACCTTTTGCTTAATAGACTATTTAAACCTTTTGTATTCTCACTTTAACACAATAAACTTATTTTGTTGTAGGAAACCGTTGCCCCTTTTTGCTCATCTAATTTACTAAAACCTTTTAAAATTCATATGTTCATATTTGAACACACACTAATGAAAGTTTTAACAGATCTAGGCCATTATATTAGTTGAAGTCGAGGATCATGATTATTTGTCAAATTCATTTATTGAAGGAATGATCTCCAAGTTCCAACAATGCTTCTCTAGGAGGGAGGTCATGAATTAGACCTTCGATGAGTGAATTGAAAAGTGAGGAAATAGACAAATACATGATCGAAGCTCTTTGGCTATGATGGAATATGTAGAACCAACAATCAATACTAATTATTGAAACAAAATATATTATAGAATCAACATGGCCCACACTGAAACAAGGTACAATCCTCAGATGTATATGCTTCAGTCTCGTCACATTTTAGGGAAAACCAACTAGTTCTAGATTTGAGCGTATCGATGAAAGAAAGTGAGAGACCAAAATGATTGAAATCCATAGCGGTTATAGTTGTATCCCACATACGTGGAAACATTAACAAAAAAATACTGTGGTACCTTAAATACCAACATGGACACAAACAATTTTAAGACAAGGGGAACTATAATTTGGGGAGTTAGGAATAATATTCAGACATAGATTAATGACGTTAATCATTCAAACATGAAAGCGTATTATGCAAATGCAGCTTTAAATTTAAAGATATATTTCCACTTAATTCCTATTATATTTATGATCATACGTGATATAGCGTATTAGTTAAGGTTGTCTGTGTCTAAGTTGGCATTCAATGGTGCCACACGATTTTTTGGATGATCTTTCCAGCCGAATAACCATTAAAAACTTGAGTGAGCGCAATACTGTAAGAAAATACTTGTATAACCATTTTGAAATTCGTAACAAACTTGAATGACTCATTGTAAGATTAACTCGAATAGTAAATGTCTAATAATGAAATAGATTGTTGATGTATACTTGTTTTAAGTAAGCAACTCGATTAATACTAAACCCACTCACCTGAACCCACCCATGCACACAAAAATGTGGAAGAACAACTTTTAAATTATGGTAATTTTTTATGCGGTATTGAATATGATTAAATAACGTCAAAAGAAAAATTTACAATCATGTCGACTCTAATCTGCAGTCCAATGCTTATATTTTGATGGTTGGATTTCCAATACTTTCACTTTCTTCCAGTATTTTAACTTGCTTAGTTAGATTATCTTTCATTTCAAGAAAATCTTCAAGTTCTGCTCGATTATAGGAAGGAGGGAACGTGCATGGAGATGAATCTGCTGGATTTTTCACCATTGAATCTATCCTAAATTTCTTCTGTAAACCTTCGACAGAACAAACCATTGTCTCTGAGCACACTTCAGCAGCCCCTTTCGGTACAGTAGGTTTATATTTCAGAAGTTTAGAATATTCATTTAACAAATGGAACATGTAGTCATAAACATATTGCATTCTTAGTTGTTCTTGAATATATTTGCTCCCTGTTTGTCCGATCTCTTGTGCCTGCAGACAGACCAACAGTTGAAAATTAACAGTAGAATAAGAATCTCTTGGGTCGTACAAGGAAAGAAGCAGTGCAAGGAGGGTCCTTTTAAGTAAAGTGAAGGCAAAGAGAGAACACGAGAGATGTATGGGGGGAAAATGAGAGCGTTATAGCTAAGCATAAATTGCACGGGTTAGTTTTTTCTTGCTTTTAAGTAACAAAAATTTCTTTCTTGGAATATTGTGTTTTTCCTAACTCCAAAAATAGGTAACTTATTATTTCAAAGTTGAACTATTATAAACAATTTATTTACTTGTGCATAATCATACTATAAGTAAACATATCAAGTCCCTGTTTGGTGGAGATTAAAATCATATTTCTTTTTGTAGATTTTGATAAAAGTTGATGAATTTTGTGGTTGAAAAATTGTAGATTCTATGAAATACGTTGTTAAAATTAAATATGAACTTTGACTTTGATAAAAATCTAGATTTTAATCTCTATAAAACAGGGGTTAAGCTTAGCCATACATGCTCTCGAGTCTAATTATAGTTCTCAAAAGTCATTAACGTTGTCACTTCTTCTCTCCGACTTCTCTATATGGGCACCAAGTGATCATCGCTAAATATCGATTTTTATAGTAGCAACAATGTCTCAACAATATATGAGCAAAAGATGATGAGATGTTTTTAGTATTGGTAGACAAGAAAGTTACCTTATTCATATGTTTGTTGCCCCATTCGACTGCGAATTTGATTGATTTACATTTTTCTGTCTTGTTAATTGGCCAGTAATGTATTGTGGGTAGCAAACTTCTTGTGAAAAAATCGTAGTAATGAGGGTTTATCATCAGACTCATTGAATCACAGGCTAAGATGTATTTTTCACTGACAGACCATGACACCCCTTCGATGTAAATTTTGTATCTGTATATGATCATATGAAGAAATTAAATGAGTAGAAAATAAAGAATTGACGAATTAAGAGAGTTATGTGAAATTTAAGCATACCTGTAATTGCATTGGCTTGCTAAATCCGCTGTTTTAAATCCATGTTCCATCTCATGTTTCCATTCCTGCACATGAAAATTATAAGCATATATATCTAAGTAATGCTGTAAACGGGCGACCCGGATGGTGCCGGTCCACCACAATCCGGTTTGAACCTCTATGTCTGAGTCTGTGACAAACTACTCAAAGGGAAATGAATATGGCTTAATGTTATTGGAAGAGAAGTATCTTTTAAGTGTCATGAAATAGAAGACTCTTTCGGTAAGTTTAAAGAAAGAACTTGTTCTTCTTATGTTAGAAATTCTTCCAATATTTCCGAGTTATGAAGATTGACACAACCTGGTAGTAGGTAAAGATTCTGAATTCAAGTTATCATCACTCACCAAAGAAATCCTACATGAAGAAAGAGTAAAAATGTCGTGTAATTGAAGGATAGCAATCCTTTCTTACCACTTTGTCGATTCGAGCATTCAACTTGGAGCCATTGCATTTCACTAAGTCCTGTCTCGCCAGGGATACGTCGGTGTTACCTTTCCAATAGGCATTAGGTTTTCTTTCATTCCATTTGATTCTGCCGTTTCCTTCTTGCAAATCCTCTTTCAAGATCTCCCATGGCTTGATATTAAGCTCTGGCCTGCATAATCAACATAAAATACATGAACTATTGAATCTCAAGGTCACTCATTTGAAAAAAAAAAAATAATAATAATAATAA